ATCATCTTCTTGATGCTAATCGCCATCTTTATCACCGTCTTTAATATTCTTGCTAGTCTCTGTAGCCCGGGAATGATGGAGACCAAGCTCGAGTCAACTCTATCTTCCTTCGAGAAGACGAACCCCGGATCCATGAACCCTTTTAGCTCCTTGAACTCAGGCTCCCATAAGCCCTTGTTCAGAGCCTCCTCTTCACTCTTCTTCCCATTTTGTCCTTCTTTCTATGCAAGAATTCCGAGCTTCTCGGGTCGTTCAAATTGTTACCACTTTGTTCATGGGTCATGCTGTGAATAGGTGTCGTATGAAGAACTAGCAGTATGGAGAGAGAGCTTGATTGAAAGTGTTGTACAATTGGTATCAAAGCTTAAGGATAGGATTTTCTGGATTGTGATTTGAGGTTTTCTTCTTATTTGATTATTATCTGAAAATTCTATTTGTTGTGATTATGTCTCGAGCAAAAAAATTAAATTGAGAATTTTAACAGAAGGAACAACTTTGGGTTATGGAACGGCAAGATGGAGGTGTTATTAACAATCTAAGGTTTGGCTGAAGCATTAGAAGGTAGGGATAAGTTGTCAGAATCAATGAAAGATGCCCAAAAGGAAATGCTAATGAGGAAGGCATGGAGTATAATCCTATTTAACCTGTCAGATGAGGTGTTAATAGAGGTAGTCGAGGAGAAAGATGCCATAGCATTGTTGGCAAAATTTCAAGCACTCTATATAACGAAAAGTTTTAACAATCGCTTGTACATGTTCAAGATGATGTTTCAGTTTCAACACACCGAAGGTACATCTATCTTATCCAACCTAGATGAGTTTGATAAACTAATTTTCGATTTAAAGAACATTGGTAAGAGATAATGAAGTACATAGCTTGATGTTATTAGCTTCTTTACTTGAGTTATGGGAGCACTTTAATGATTCACTACTATAGGGCGCACTGCGATTACCTCGAAAATGGTAAACTCCACCTTGTTCTCTAAGGCATGGTAGAGAAAGTTGCAAGATAACAGCCTAGCACAAAATATAGCGCGAGGGTTAGTGATTCGAGTTAGAGAACAACATTGATGGTCTAATAGTAACAGAGGTAAAAGCATATCGAAGTCATACCATAGAAATTCCAAGGGATGCGTGAAGTGTTTGCATTGTCACGAGAAGGGGCATATAAGGAGAGACTGTCTGAAATTGAGAAACCAAGGTGACAGATAGAATACCATAAGTAGTGCGGTGAACGTTGCCGATGAGAGTACTAGTGATGCAGAACCTGTCTTGTGTGTGAATACTAGTTCGTCAGGATACGAATGTGTGCTAGATTCAAGGTGTTCTTATCATATGAGGCTACATAAGAACTGGTTTACAACTTATTAGACTATAAACGGTGGTAGAGTTCTGATGGGAATAATGTAGTCTTCAAGGTTATAGGGATAGGGACAATTTGAAATTGAATGCACGATGGCGTGGTGCGCACACTAACAGATGTGAGGCATGTAGCGGAGCTCAATAATAATAACCTTATTTCTTTAGGGATACTCGATGACATCAAGTGTAAGTACGCCGTTGAAAGTGGAATTCTAAATATCTCACAAGGTGCAATGATAGTGATGAAAAGGAAGAAAGTGAATACTCTTTATTATCTTTTGGGAGATACCGTGACCAAAGCTTGCTGCAGTTTCATCAAGTGAGTCTGACTCTGGCTTGATTCAATTATGGCATATGCTACTATGGCACATGAGTGAGGCAAGTATGACGATACTGAGTAGAAGAGGGTTGTTGAAGGGTCATAAGATAAGGAAGCTGAACTTATGTGAGCATTGCATATTTAAAAAGCAGAGCCGTATTAAGTTTACTATAACTATTCATTCGACCAAGCAACTGGTTGAATACATTCATTCAGATGTCTGGGGCCCGTCTCCAGTTCCTTCAAAAGGAGGTGCTTAATATATGTTGACATTTATTGATGACTATTCGAGTAAGGTGTGGAACTACTTTCTAAAGCACAAATCTGATGTTTCAATTGATTCAAGCAATTTTGAGAAGTAGTTAGACAAACAAATCAAGTGTTTAACTTTACCAAAAAAAAAACAAATCAAGTGTTTAAGAACCGATAATGAAATAGAGTTCCTTGCTAAAGATTTTACCGACTTCTGCGAAAGAGACGGGATTATAAGATATCACATAGTACTTGGGACACCACAGTAGAATGGTGTAGCGGAACAAAAGAACAGAACTTTACTTGAGCGAACTCGATGCATGCTTTCGAATGTAGGACTAGGCAAAGAAGAATTTTGTGCCGAAACAATGAACATGGAATGTTGCCTGGTCAATTAATCTATATCATCTGCTATCGAGTGGAAGACTCCTGAGGAAGTATGGTTGGAGAAACCTATTGATTACTCCGGATTATGAGTATTCGGACGTCCTATGTTTGCTCATGCGAGTGATGGTAAGCTCGAGCCGAGAGTGTAGAAGTGCATAATTCTAGGTTATGCACATGAGTTAAAGGCCACCGACTGTGGTGCATTGATCTCAAATCACCCTGTTTTCTAATTAGTAGTGATGCGATCTTAGACAAGATTGCAATGCTTCAACAGAGGAATCCTGAGACACAAACAGCAGAGTAGACAATCATTGTGTCAGTAGTGAGGTTAAGCTTTAGGTGAAAACTCCGGAGACCTTAAAGGTAACACAGGTAAAGATTGCAGATGAGCCGCGATTCCTGAAGTTGGTGATACTGCACAACAAACACAGCCGCAACACATTATATCTGCAGGCAGACAGAGAAGACATATTAAACCACCGGTACGTTAGATATATATATATATATATATATATATATATATATATATATGTATATTACTTATGCATTGACTATAGGTGACAAGGTGGAGATAGATGAATCTTCATCTTACTCTAAGGCGATGGCTAGTAGTGAGTCGTCGTAATGGCTAGGGGCTATGAGTGAAGAGATTGAATTACTCTATTGAAATCAAACATGGGAGCTGGTAAAAGTATCCAAGAGCCAGAAGATTATTTGAAGCAAATAGGTCTACAAATGGAAGGAGAGCATTTTCGGTGTCGAGGCAGCGAGATATAAGGCGAGATTTGTTGCAAAGAGGTACATGTAGCGGGAGGACATTAACTACAATGAGGTGTTATTGTTGATGTTGTCTTGAATTCCATGAAGTTTCGATTGATTAGAGACTCGGAAAAATCAATCGGGAAATCTAAGAAGGCTTGGAGCTTGTAGGCTACATGTTTCAAATATATTTCTTATCTACATGGGATTTCATGGGAAATAGTCCTAATTTAATATAACTAGGATATGTCATGATATTCCTAATATTTAGGGGATAATCACTAAAGATTTATTAGTTAGTTTCCTAAACTAATAATATCTTTAGGGTGGAATTTATTGGGATTAGGGAAGTAGAGATTTGAGGATCTATTTATTCAGCATTGTACTTTGTATCAGATATGCTCAAAAATAAGAAATCTTCTCTCTCTCTCTCCCATGGACGTAAGCGGAATTTTTCTGCCGAACCACGTAAATCTCTGTGTTTGAATTATTCTTGTTTCATCTCATCTAGTTAGGGTGCTCTTCCGCACAATAATTATTTCCTATGTTAAGACATACTTCTGTTTGTATATTACTTGCTTTAGTTGCTGTACAGGATCTCGAGCTGGAGCAATTATATGTGAAAATGACGTTTCTTCACAGTGAGTTGGAGGAATAGATTTACATGAAGCAGCTAGAGAGATTTGCTATTACGGATAAGAAAGACCATGTTTGCTTTTAAATTATATGGGCTAAGATAGTATCCTAGACAATGGTATAAGCAGTTTGATGCTTTCACGGCTAGTCAGGACTATTCGAAAAGTCAAATGGATAGCTGTGTTTACTTTAGGAGATTGGAAGATGGGTTTTTGATTTATTTGTCATTGATATGTAATACTAACGTGTTGATAGCAGTTAAGAATATGTTTGTTATTGATGTATTGAAGACTTAGTTGAGTACTGAATGTGAGATGAAAGATTTAGGTGTTGCAAAGAAAATATTGGGTATAGAGATTTTGCATGATAGGACTGCGGGAGTTTTACGTGGATTTGGATCACGCTTGTGAATTGGATGAGTGCACGTCTTTAGCAGGGTATGTGTTTACACTAGCAAGTGGTACAGTGAATTGGAAGGCGTCCTTATAGGATCATGTTGCCTTGTCTTCGACTAAGACAGAGTACATGGCACTTACCTCTATAGCGGAGGAGGTGATATGGCTACAGAGTTTGATTTCGAACTTTAGGTTAGAGTAGAAAAATGTTGATATACATTGTGACATCCAATGTGTGATATATCTGACATATAAACATATCAACATCAGGTATCATTTCATTCGAGATGTCTTAGCGAATGATAAGGTTGAGATGTCTTTGCGAAGGATAAGGTTGTTGTGAAAAAATTGCTACAGTAGGGAACCTGGTAGACATAATTACTAAGCTTCTTCCTTTGGCAAAGTTCAAGCTTTGCTTTAGTACATTTGGTGTTTGTAGAGAGTGAGTGCCCGTTGAGGTGTTGGGACAACAACATGAATGATAAGCACGATAACTTGGCTTCAAATGTCACGCCCCGAAGCCCATCGAGCTCACGACATCCCCTGCTCCGGTCGAAATATTGCGACGTCCCAGGAACGTCGCCGACCCAACCCAAACATCAGAGCCACATGCGGAAGCGGAATATATAAAACAAAACCCCGGATAGAAAGATGACGACAACGGGGTAGAACACCACAACAATCAAACAACAACATCTTCATACAGCACCAAACATACAAACATCATATTACAGACATAAATACAGACGAACATACTCCGCCACCGACATTACAAAAGATCAGGGCTCTGGTTAACTTAACTTCGCTATGGGTCAATCCAGTTTACACAACCCCTAAAATGCCCTAGGAAAAAACCTAAGGGTCGCCTTCCGATCTGCTCCTGATTCTTCGGGCTTGAGCCTCCGGACACTCACCTGTAGTTTCACCGGGCACCAAAAGCGACTCTTCGCACTTCAAAAAGAGGAGGCGGTTCCCTGGGTTTACGGCTGGGGGTCTGAAATTGTGGATTATACAACTATGAGACGAATCTCAATAAGTGTACAACCCCAAACCCCACGTAGACACTCACGTACCGCCAGACGAAAACACGCATAACATACGACAATCAATCAAACTACCAACCACACACGCCCCTACCTGGAATCCATCATGCACATTCCTGCACGTTAGATCATAATACAGCCAGCACCTCACAGTAATACATCACAGACGCGCGCGTGCCTTAATTATAAGATAGAAACCACTTGGGCACGTCCCATACCGTGCCTAGCAGTTTCTACCCCATAATTAAGCATCACATCACGTGATACAAACACACTCGCACACTACTCACACCATGCATCACTTTCTCAAACTTCGCACCTCAAGTCAATTCCCGCTCCTTCTCAACTCTTCCACCACTACCGCGCCCGCGTAAAACGCATCAGGCCAACGGTCTTCTAACCTCGTCAGGCATTGTCACCCCGTCGGGCCGGGCATCGTCACCTCGTCAGGGACGGCATCGTCCTGCGTAAACGTACAAGCCTCAGGACGGAATCCTACACACACTTTCCTTCTACCGCGCCCGCGTAAAACGCATCAGGCCAACGGTTTTCTGACCACGTCAGGCATCAACACCTCGTCAGGCCGGGCATTGTCACCTCGTCAGAGACGGCATCGTCCCGCGTAAACGTACACGCCTCAGGACGGATCCTTTCCAACCAATCCCACATTTCTGTATCCTCGTTCCACTCAAACCACACTTACACACGACCAACAAACTCACGGCCAAACATACACACCTTACACACACATTTCACAATTTCACATTCTCGTCACACGAACACGCCACCCAATCACACACTCTTAGCACGCTAATTCAATGCATATTCACACGACCACGCCCCTACACCTCACGGCCACATACACACGGCACGGCACCACATCATATTCGGCCCAAGCACAATCCAAATCAGCCCACAATCACAAATCACACAACCACGTACACAATTCAATTCATAGCATCAGGGTAAATCTGGGCAGTTTACATAGTGACCAAAATCCCATCAAAATAAATAGTAAACGAACTCCAAAAATTCTAAAATTTGGATATATAATAAAACACATCTTGATCAACATTTCTTATGAAGAACACAAAATCCGGTTCAATCTGCAACCATGCCTTTTTGTCCCTCGAAATCAGACCAAAATCAGTTCGCTCTAACAGACTGCTTTGTCCTCAAAATACATTTATTTCAACACCCAAATCACCTTGAAAAGCTTTAAAAGTTTTATATGTTATAGCCACAAATGTCCCCAACAATTTTTGTGAAGGAAGTATTTTGAAAATATGCCTGAAAAAATTTATAAAAATTCGAACAGACCCGAAGGTCGGGTGAACAGTAAATCGGGCAGTTTTATTTCGGTCCAAAGATGGACTTCCGAATGGCATCAAATGATTTCCAAAAATTCCCAAATTAAAATATGTTATAATTCAAGATGTTGGGAACAACTTTCATGAATAAACCTTCCTCAAATTCGGGCCACACAAGTCACATTAAAAATAACAAAAACCAGCGACGCAGCAGCAACCTAACTGGAAATCAGCCAACACACACCACCGAGCAAACCAGCCACTAAACTCACCCTAAACCGAGCCCTAAACAAGCCTAACAATACCCGAGGTCCTAGGCGACATTTGGGGAGGTCACTTACCTAAGAAAGACGAGACGAACGGGCTGAATGGGTGGCTGAAATGGGCAGAACAGCAGCAGCAGCAGCCATGGTGATGGGAGGAACAAGGATGAAGAGAATGAGAAAGAGGGAGAGAGAGAGAGAGAGAGGGGGGGGGGGGGGGGAGGCTGAACGTGGGGGTTCTAGCCAGAATGGGGAGGAAGAGAGAGAGAGAGGAGGGTTAGCTGGTCAAAAATAGTGGCCTAGGGGCGCCACGTGTCGCGATCCTACGCGATTTCCCATTTTGCCCTTGATCCGACGGCTCTTATTTGTCTCTATCCAATAATTGAAGGGCAAAAATGTCCAAATTTCAATAATGCAACTGAAATTCTAATTTAATAATTCTCAATTCTCCAGTCCAAAATTCGGAATACCCAGTACTGGGTCCAGGGGCAAAACAGTAATTTTTCCGCCCCGGGCCGAAATTCCATTTTTCGACCGTACTAACAAAAAATGTGAGTGGCCAACATAATATGACATCAGATTCGTGAAAATAGCCTCTTAAGCCCTCGAAAATCGACTGCAAAGTTCTGGGAATAAAATAATATTATTTTTCACTTCCAAGCCAAAATTTCAATTTTCGTCCGAAACCACTCTAGATATGCGTGGCCACCCAAAAACGGCATCGGCCTCAAAAAATAACCTCAAACGGCCTCAAAATCCAACATCGGTGTCCACAGGGGCAAAATCGTAATTTTCCCGGTCCCGAACCGAAATCCATTTTTTTGCAGAAATGGTTGGCCCCAAGGTTGGCCAAGCCAAAAACGTCATCGGCCGTCCAAATTGTCACTTTCAAAATTCTCGATTCCCGGGCCCGAATTCCAAGAAATGACTAAGATCGAACAATCGCGACTTTAGTTTATCTCAGGCTAACGGGTGGCTCATTGGAATTACGCGCTCTCGACCCGTGACCGATACTAAGTCAAATCACGTTTAAATTTGCTCGAGCCAAAGCGACCTCGATTGTCATATAATTGCGAGGGTCTGTCACTAGTGCCCTTCGGACACGATCAATCAAATAGACCGGTCTCGGTTGGCTCAAAACATTCCCCCGTCAATCGATATGGTCGAAGATCGAACCAAGATCAAGTTCTTTAGTCGTGCGAACTCAATCCCGTACTGGCCTTACCCTTAAGGTTAGCATCCCGAGAATGCGCGGGTCCCGGGTGAGATCTCACTATAGTGCATTGATCAAATTCATTTCTTAAATCCCGGGAAAATGATCGAAAATTCAGACTGTTACATCAAATGTCGGGACAAAGTAGAGAACTGTTAAATTTTATCTCGAATTTGAATTTATGTACAAGACCGATCCGATCAAAGGATTTGTTTGGATAAACATTCACTCCTTGACCGGTTTGACCGATCAAGAAGTGGGTTCTTTAAATGGCGTACGGTGGAGGACGCCTTCAACAAAAGGCAAGAAAAACTCTCATTCACTGCAAGACAAAAAGGGCTCCCTCTATATTGCGGAAGCCAAGCGATCGAATAATAAATTTGACAAAATAAGAAAATAAATCGGACACCAAATTTACGTGATTCGATCGTAGTGACCTACGTCCACGGGGAGAGCAGCACGGAATTCCACTATAGATCAAGCGATACAACGGAGATTACAACCACACTCGAGTCATTCAAACACTCTAAGTGTTTCCCAAGCCCCAATTACACCCAATAACGCACGCAGTGTTTAGCCCCACAATTCCTCACGAAATAATCTCTCAATCTCGCAAAAGAATTGTACACAAATCTTAACACAAGATTTAATCGCTACGAACACTTGAACTCTTAGTGTAATTCCACGAATAAAATCACGAACCCACAACTAAGCACTCGCTTGCGGAGCGGCGCTTCAAGAAGTCTTCACTTCACGTATTTATCAATAACAACACGCCCAAAGTGCCCACTGAATATATTTATAGCCAAAAAGAAGAACACCTTCAGAAGCCCACGTCAACATGGATTAGGAAATTATGTTATTCGGTCAACTAGTCAAAGTTTGAACTTTCCTCTTTTGACTTTTCTTTGGCCGACTTCAAGTAGTGTTTCCTTCCTTTCTCTGACACAATTGGACTTTCCTTTTCTGTCCTTCTATTTCACGATTCGGACTCCAACGTGAGAATAACAAAATTGATGTGTCCGTATATTTCCTTTTACTCGATTTTGGAAATTCTTAAAATATCTAATTCGGAATATTTAGATTTTCACTTTGGGTTCAAATTCAAGACATATTTTCAACAATCTCCACCTTGGCTCGACGTTTAAGCCAAGTCACAATCACTTTGATAGAAATCCAAATTTCGCTACTACTCTCCCACAGCCCCAATGGGCTCAATCGCCATAGACGTCTTCCAAGTCCAAGCCTTGCTTGAACTTCGCCATAGCCATGGACCTTATCAGAACACCAACTCCACATGCACTTTTAACTGCTCCACAAGGATTTTCCGACACAATCTCCTCAATCGCAGATAAAGCAAAACCATCATTGCATCCATATCTGTCAGGAGACTGAATACGCACCTTGTCAATATCAGCAGTTACAGCAACCGTTGGCTCAATAGGCTTCACCTCGCTACAAGCACCATCCGTGTCGATTACTTCGCTAGCACCCGCTACCTCAGGAGTTTCTGGTTGCAACTCCACCTCAAACTGAATACCGTTCAGATCCGTATAAACACTGCTACTAACACTCCTAGCCAGAAGTACTAGAGACTCGTCAAATGTAACTTCTCTGCTGATAATACGTGAATTTAATTTCGGGCACCACAACTTATAGCCCCGCTCACCTTGTGCATAACCTAGGAACATGCACTTCATTGCCCTTCCATCGAGCTTACCATCACTAACTCGAACATAACATGGACAACCAAACATTCTAAGAACAGAATAATCAGCAACGTTACCTGACCACACTTTTTCGGGAGTCCGACATTCAATCGCAGTCGATGGGGATCTATTTTTCAGGTAGCTCGCCGTACTAAGCGCATCCGCCAAGAATCTCCTAGCCATACCAGTACTAGAGAGCATTTTATGGGCCGTCTCTAGTAATATTTTGCTCATCAACTCTGCAACATGTTGTGGTTTATTGGCACTAGTGCGGTGTCTCACTATGCCTTCCTTCATGCAGAATTCGTTTAACAGTTTCGAGCAAAACTCCATACTACTGTTAGTCCGCACCTACTTGATCGTTTTATCAGTCTCATTTTCGATCAAAGCTGTTAACTGCCTGATCCTGACAACAGCATCAAACTTGTGCCTTAGCACAAACTCCCAAGTCTTCCTCGAGTAGTCATCAACAATTGTTAGCATAAATCTGGCATTCTTCCTCGAAGGAAATCGCGACAACCGGCAAACATCCAAGTGAATTAATTCTGTAATATCTGTGGTTTCTCTGACAACCGTACTAAACTGCACTTTTCGCCGTTGATCAAAATCACAGCACCTGCATACATTCAATTCGTTAGCCACATAACCACATAGCAAATTCCTTTCACTTAGAACCTTCAAGCTTCTCTCACTAATGTGCCCCAAAAGCATATGCCACAATTTAGACTCTCGAACCGATGCATCCGACGTCTCCGCAGCGAATTACATCACTGTCTCACCTTGAAGCTCATACAGGCCACTATGCTTGATTCCTTTAATTATCACCATGGCACCTCGAAGAACTTTCAGAACTCCACAATCTGAAGAATACCGATACCCAGCTGAATCTAGGGCACTCAAGGAAATCAGATTTTTCTTCAACTCTGGAACATGCCTTACTCCAGTCAATGTCCACACAATACCATCATGCATTCTGATTCTGACATTACCAACACCAATAACATCGCATTCAAAATTGTTCCCCAACTGCACTTTACTACTATCCGTGCACTGATAAGTAGTAAACCAGTTTCTGTTTGGTGTAGCATGAAAAGAACAACCAGAATCCATAATCCATCCATTAAATGATGAATCATCAGTGACAAACAAGACAAAATCAGCATTATCCGAATTTTGTCTGCTATAGCAGCAACATCATCTGTAGACTCAACTCTAATTCCCTTATCCTTGTCGTTTTTCAGCTTAAGGCAATCCCTTCTAATATGCCCCCTCTTGCCACAATTCCAACAGACAATACCACCAGTCCTAGACTGACTTCGTCTATTCGAGTTCATACTACTCCTGCTAATACGTGTACCAATTCTTCCTCTATTTTCACCTACTAAAGCAGCATATACATGTTCGCTAGATTCTCTTCTACGGATGTCTTCACTCAGAATTAAATCTCGAACACCATCAAACGTCAAACTTGTCGACCCAGAGGAATTACTAACAGCAGTAACAGTAGTATTCCAATTATCAAGCAATGAGGATAATAGAATCAAAGCATGTACCTCATCTTCAAAGTCAATCTCAACTGAACTCAATTGACTAACGATCACATTGAATTCATTAACATGATCGGCAACTAACGCACCTTCGCTCATTTTCAAGTTAAACAGACATCGCATCAAATAGACCTTGTTGATCGCAGAGGGCTTCTCGTACATGTCCAACAAGGCTTTCATCAAACCCGTAGTGGTCTTCTCATTCACGATGTTAAACGCGACGTTACGTGCCAACGTCAGCCGAATAACACCCAAAGCTCGTCTATCCAGCAATTCCCAATCAGCTTGCTTCATCGTCTCTGGCTTCTCTCTAGATAGGGGCAAGTGCAGTTTCATCTGATATAGATGATCCTCAATCTGCATCTTCCAGAAACCAAAATCCTTCCCATCAAATCTGTCGATTCTCACTTTTCCTTCTTCTGCCGCCATCGATTCGCTTCAACTTAAGCTAGCCTAGGTCTGATACCAATTGTTGCGGAAGCCAAGCGATCGAACAATAAATTTGACAAAATAAGAAAATAAATCGGACACCAGATTTACGTGGTTCGGTCGTAGTGACCTACGTCCACGGGGAGAGCAGCACGGAATTCCACTATAGATCAAGCGATACAACGGAGATTACAACCACACTCGAGTCACTCAAACACTCTAAGTGTTTCCCAAGCTCCAATTACACCTAATAACGCACGCAGTGTTTAGCCCCACAATT